AGGACCAGCTAGCCCTCTTGCTGTTATTAACGTCGTCCAAGGCAAGCGATACCGTATCCGGTTGTTGAATATCGCATGTGGTACCGACTACGTGTTCTCCATCGACGAGCACGTCTTCACGATCATCGAAGCCGACGGGGAACCAACGCAACCCTTGGTAGTCGACTCCATCATGATCGGCACAGCCCAACGGTACTCTTTCATCATCGAGGCGAACCAACCAATTGACAACTACTGGATCCGTGGCAACGACGAGTTTCGACAACGGCCTCAATTCTGCTATTCTGAGGTATTCCGGGGCACCGATCGCGGATCCACCTACTCGGAATTGGACGCTCGTTCGTGAACTGGCCGAGTACGAGTTACACGGCGTGAACACCACGGTGCCTGGTAGACCTGGCGTCGGCAATGCGGACGTGAACCTGAATCTCGTCGCTCAGTCAACAGGAGCTCTATCCAGTGGCATATCAATGGAGAGTCCTATGTATCTCCGGAGACGCCGATTTTGCTACAGATTCTAAGTGATGCTACGGCTGCCCAGTTAGTCCCCCAGGGCTCCATATATACAGTACCCACCAACAAAGTCGTGGAAGTATCCTTCCCCGGTGCGCTTCTCGCCTCGTCGGTATGCGTCAAGTTTGAAATATGTTTCGGCCTTTTCGGCTGACCTGTTCCCCGCACAGCATTCATTCCACCTGCACGGTGTACGTACAAAACTCTGTCCCCCCCTAAAAATTACAGCACCCAACCGTCCACATGAAGTTGATATGATTTAATTTATTACCACCAGCACAGATTCGATGTCGTTAGAAGCGCAGGAACGAGAGAGTACAACTACCTCAATCCCGTCCGGCGCGACACCATGAACTCAGGTACACCGACCGATAATGTGACGATCCGATTCGTCACTGACAATGCCGGTCCCTGGTTCCTTCACTGGTCAGTCCGTCTGTCCATCCTTGTCACGTTTGGTTTTGACTGTTGATGGTTCCCGTGATGATAATGGTGGTGGTGGTAACGATGTTGGCCGTATTTGCTTTGGTTGGTACGCATACAAACCAACCAGCCACATTGGTGTACATCTTGATCTGTCAGTCGGCTGCCGCGGTGGCATCTAACTTGCGGTTGTACTGACTCACTTGTTGCGTGATAGGGGCATGGCGGTTGTGTTTGCGGAGGATGTGCAGGGTACGGCGTCGAGCGACCCGGGGAATGGTGAGTCATGTCCCTTGCATGCACTGCGTGGATGTAGAAAGGCTTATTGCATCAGGTCAAGGAAAGAAGCTGTGTGATATCTATAATGTGTTGCCTCCGTCGGAGCAGTAGTTGACTGAAATATGCATCAAGTTCTTCCTGTTCTGGATCTATCCTACATGCTGTCAATGGTAGTGCTTTATTTTGGGGGTGGGTTCGTGTAACCCTCGGGATGAATAGAAAGTAATGCGGCAGGGATCGATCCACGACGTGAAGACGAACCTAAAGAACAAGGCGCATGAAGATGTACAAGGGGTACCACCTATTATTTATTCATCTCCGTCCTAACCCATCAGCAACTTTTCGAAGTGCTTAGCGACCCGGCTGCAGTTCTGCTGCGACTTTGTTCAGCCACGGCAACACTTTTCCTTCAGCGAGGAAGTCCTTTTCATGTTTCCTTGCCACCTCGATGAAGTCTTTCCTGCTCAACCCAGTCACGGGCACCTTATCATGTCCAAGCACCTCCCTCGCTTCAGCAGCAACTTCGGCCTCCTTCTCAAATTTCTTCACGACATCTCTCAGCAAATTACCCCCAAGACGACTATCCCTATAGTTCTTCCACCACTTGTCGCCCGCATCGGCCCCGAAAACATGGCGCACGAGTGCCGGGAATAAAATGTTGCACATATACGAGTCGTGCATGCACTGCTCGAGCAGGTAGAGCCCCTCGCATTTGGCATATGCGCGAGATAGACAGGGTGCCGAGTCTGGGAATTTCTTGCGTTCTGCCTCTTCGAGTAAACGATTGAACGTGGCTTGGTCCTGTACGTTCCGTTGACGAAGACGAGCAACTTTATCGTCTGTATCATCCCAGAGAGGGTTATCGACGATAAAAAGGGGGTACTGAGCGAAAGAGGAGGTACAGACGGCTTGTGCGTTATCCCAGTCAATGATAGCGGTGATGCGCGGGTGACTCTCGACGTCCACGACGAGGATATTTTGGGAGCGGAAGTCACCTCGCAACAGCGGGAAACCCTTGGCATCGAGAGAGTTGTCGTACAAAGACGGAATGAGTGAACGCATAAACCAGTGACGGGTATAGTCGTTGACATTGTGGACAGCGCCGTACTGGTCGTTTTCTATTTCTTGGAGACGTGCGTTGGCAGCGGCCAACGCTTTAGCTATGCCACTCGTATAAGTGACACCATCTGCTTCCGAGTCGGAAGGCTCGATGTGCCAACTACCCTCGTCCGTCCTGAATAGACTACCAATCTTGTCGAAACGGAGCGTAGACAGCTCGAGCAAAATGTCAATGACCTGTCGTAGAACGATTTTGCGCTGGTCATCGGGCATCTCATCCCAAACGGTACACAACAGTACGCCGTCTACCTTTGACATGACGACATAAGGGAACCGAACGTTATCGAGCTCTGGGTCGAGGCATGAGTAGATGATGCGTGGGACTGGGATATTGCTGTATGTGGCGACATACTCCATCGACGCGAGCATGTTGGCCATGTTCCTGACGTTTTGGTTCATTATCTCTGGCGTCATTGGGCCAGTGGTCTCTGGATCGGGATAAAGGGGGACGCGCACAACGACCTCTTGATCATCAAGGTGAAGAAAACGAACGAGATTGAAACCGCCCGACTCTTGCTGGCCCCATCGAGCGGCAGTTGCACCAACCTTGTTACGTACCGTCCGCAGGATGGCTTCCCAATTGACGGCTTCTACAGTTGCATCGACGAGAGGGCTGGATCGAGAGGAGGAGGAGGAGGAGGAGGTGGTGGTGGTGGTGGTGGTGGTGGAGGTCATGTCGCGTCCAACTTAAAGATGCAGTGCGATAAACCAAGATGGTCTACTGAGACGGAAGCCGCTCTAGGCTGAATATATATCCTGTATGATGCTGTACAAGTGGGGTCCTTGTAGCTCCTTGTTTGGAGCTTCGCCAACGACATGCTCTGAGCCTCGTAGTTGTATTCCACCGTGATCTCTCGCAATCCACATCCCACTCGTCATCGAGTTATCGTCGAGTCTTCCAGTTTATTCACATACCGATTTGTTCGGGTCCGGCTTCTGCTCCTGTACGTCGTGACTAGACTAGTTACGACGTATATGAGCAGAAGCAAAGCTGCAATATATGTACTATCCGGTGTCAACTGCCTCAAGTACAAATGTCTGACGGTCGATGGGCACCGTTCAAGGTTTCAACCACCCCAGCCGTGCATGCAGTGTGCTTCTTGTGTCTGCACAAGCCCAGAAGTGTGTGCCTGCCCAGTCTCTCGTTGGTCGCAGGTTTCTTATCAGTACGGGCGCTTCTCAGGCCACTTGCGAAACCCATCGAACACCATCTACAGCACACCGTCAGCTCCAGACAACATATTTTATGGGAATTACTATGCACTACCCACCCACACGCCATATCCAGGCAATTCTGCCAGTCTGCCATCTGTCACATTCCCTCTAACTCCAGGTTCAACTGTCACAACACCCAATCATTCCAACGCTCTGCGCGGGCCACCTCAAAATTCCTTGTGTAACCGAACCATGATTGTCGTCAATAAGAGTCCAGCACCAGCGCCGCGGTGACGCAAGAATGTGCTCAGCGCCACTGCAACAAAGCCACCTCCGGCTCAACGACAACAGGTACCTGCCAGTATCACACAGACCACCACCTCTATGGTAGGACCTACTGCTGCAGAACTCGTCAGTGTTGGGCCGAAGACTCCAGTTAGTGCCTCGGCGTCACCTGATACAACTGATATGCGCCCATCCACGCAGCTACCGACAAGCACCTATGCCTCTATCGGGCATCTCGTTGCTGAAGTGCGCAACTCACGTGCCGCAAAAGATGTGTACTTTTTCTTGCGTGCCCTTCGAAGTGCCGAGCCCCCTGCAGATCTCAGTTACCTAGCCTACTCCGCACAGAGAGCCTATTCTTGAGCATCCTTTGTCAATCATGTCCTCACCAAATTAGGCACTGGCAGGTTTGGAAGAATGCTGATGGTGTTACAGGCGATGTCCGCACGCATCTCAAGACTAAGCATGCTGATATATATGAAGATGCATGTAGTATCGCCAATCTCAGACGTGACGGTGACCAAGGCCACAAAGGAGATGATGAGCCATTCTCCCCAAGCTTACTCGAGGTACTACAAGTCCTCAAGTACGTATACAAGCAAGACCGACTCGATTTTTGCATGTACAATTCATGCGTGCCCATGACAATCGTGTTGTAGTCCTCCTACGTACATTTGCTCTCTCGAACGGCCTGATAACTGAGTCTACTGTTACGGCCGAAAGCTCCCTGCAACGCGAAATTTGACGGATGGCGCATCCGACTCAACTCGACTCATACGCCAGCAACACTATCGACGAGGGCATAGTGAAAGCGACGTATTTCTCGTCGACTGTTCTTAGATATACCGGGGGCGCCTCCAGAACCATGCCGAAGGCTCCTCGCTGTCTTTTCAGAATGCCGATTTGTTCAATTTCGAGTCTGGCGAAGCAGTTTTGCGGCTTGAGCTTCGGTTGGTCCTTGAAAAGCATGAAACGATTGCTCGGTATCGCGTACTAAGCTCCACTTGCGACTTGTTCTCGATGTCAAGGATGGGGCCGACGGCGATGATATGCCCAAACTTCAGCACCTTGATATAACTTCAGAAGTTTCCGCATACCTGGTGAGGATATATGTAAGTTCTTTCCATTGCGGTAACCAACGAAAACGGTATGAGAGGAATGGACTGTTGAGAGAGACTGACGGCGGCCTGCCATCACTATACCACCTGTTGGCAGGTGGTCTATGAGGCTGACTAGCTCAGTTGGTTAGAGCGTCGTGCTAATACATAGTCCTGGGCTCCCTCTTGGCAACTCGAAGTGGCCTAAGGATTGTTACGCGAAGGTCTTGGGTTCGATCCCCACGTTGGCCAATTTTTGTTTCCACCACGCAAGTTTGTTACGTAATTCCCATTCATTGGAAATTGAAATTGAAATTGAAATTGAACTTGAACTTGAACTTGAACTTGAACTTGCTCCAGTCTCTCCCAAACGACGAACGCGTTTCCGCCCTCAAGACAGTCATGGCCGCTTATTCTGCGTTGTTTTCGTCAGGCCTACTTGCTCCGCATGCTTGTAGATTTACAACTCCTGCACCGCCATCCTCGCCTATACCGATGGCATCCAGCCCAGCCGACCCAGTCGATCGTCAGATGAGTGTTACCCCGACTCCCACCAACCAGGGTCCAAATGCAAAAAACCCCCAGAACCTCGATCGCCCACGCATGCGCAGACGCCGTTCTAGCATGAACATCGGGGCAAGTCCAATGTCCTTCATCAAGTCTCCAACTCGAAATGCTGGCACTGCGCTCCAGCGCACAGGGATCATGTCTCCCACACGGAGTCGGGCAGGCAGCGTGGCTGCGAACGAGGCGTCCGAGAGCAATAGTTTGTTTGGAAGATTAAGGAGTGGAAGTGTTGGAGGTGTTCCACCTCAGACTCGGTGTGTGGCACTTATGATGTACTGACACTTGTCTAACGACGTGTCAGGACGCGTCGAGCTGTTCGTCGAACAGTTCCTCATGCACCTCCGCCTACTATGCCTCTCCCAGCACTTCCTCCTCCCTCGCCAAGCACAAAGTGTGCTGACGCGTTGACCCCACCCACTCTGCTCGTCTCTGTCCCACGCCAACCTCTTTCGACGCGTCCTTTGCCTGCAGAGAACGTGTCTATGGCTAGCCTCCTTTCACCGACCCTTCTTCCTTCGCCTACACTACTCAGCCCAGATTATGCGCCCAAAGTGCCTTTCAAGATGGCTCCCTCTCGCGCTTCGAGCCCCGCTATCCCGGAACGGGCGGGCTATTTCGATAATATCGTTGACGAGGAAATGATCGAGAATTAGAGCAAAAAGAGACAATGGAGACAGCTGGGCTGGATACTCTAACCACTGTTCACTCTGCGCGTTGATCGCGCCAGACCCACCGTTTATCGCTGGCCGGACCCTAAAAAATTCACTTATTTATATTTACTCCCGGGTCAACCGTTTTTGTATGCAAGCCTCATCGTTAGATATCATCACCCTTACATGTCTCGCTCGTGTGCCCGTGTCTCGATTTCATTATGTTCTTGCTGTTGCTGTGGTCGAATGTACACCATTTTTGCTGCTTTCAGTTTTATCCACCCCCTCGTCTTCCCTGTCCTGTTTCAGTAGATTTCAGCGATCTTGGCACGGGGGCATCTTGTTGACGGTGCTTGGACGTGTCAAGCAACGGAAATCAATGAAACCTGTCGTCGTCGCGTACCACTTCAAGCTTAGGATCAAGGGGCAGCATGGACTCGCTGATTTCACCTTCGTTGGTCCGATGCTACTCCGCGCCATGGAAGGACCCTTGTATGATTAGTAGGCCCATCACCTCATCTCCCGTCGTTAAAGCACAAATGAAAACTCACTAGCACTGTATTCTGGCAAGTAACATCTTCGCATCTCGTCGCAGCTTTCCAACTTCGCCATAAATGATACTTAGCTCCACCAAGAAATAAATATGAAGATGCCTTGTGATATCGTGATTCACGAAAAATGGGCGTAGGATAAGGCAGGTGACAACGTCCATCACAGCCAAATAGGCCCCTTTTCATGTGAGGGTATTCGGTATGCAATCCGTGAACGCGAACTTGCCTTGATAAGGACTCCATGTACAGGCTGTTGTAACACTTCGCTTCGATCATTTTGACGTCATGTCGCGGACGAGATTATTGCAGTGCACATGGCTAGATGCTACCCATATGGAACCGAGTTTTTCACATGGAGGAGCCAGATAGGACGACCATGCGAGTGAGGGTAATTGCAAAAAGCTCACCGGCGATGGATAAAGTTCAAGGTCAAGCTATGGTCTAGCCCCGATACTCTGAGACAACGGGAAGGTGCCAGCCTGTGGATTTCACCACGAAATTTTAGCTGCTACAATGCGTTTACCTTGAACCAGCTATAGTACAACCTCCGTATGCGCGACGAGGCTGAGTTATGGATGGATTCTCCATGATGTGATGCGGGTGCAGCCGAGGAGTTACACGTCCACAGGATTTAATGAAGGTGCGAGAGACGGGCTGAGACCAAGAAAGGGATATCAAGTAGGTTGGTAAGTCATGATCCTCTCTCGTGATATGGGGGAGTCATTGTTTTGACATGTTGAATTCAAAAGGCATCGGCCAATAGACGCAAACAATATCTTGTTTCTTTCGGGTATGTGCCCAGGTCGTACAAGCGCAAGATGCGCATTGCGCTCGAAATATGGTAGTTTTCCTCCAAGACTACTCTCACGACGTCCTCTATCTACAACCCATACCTTCGAACGCGTAAATTCTAGTGTAAACGCACTAGTATCCATACCAGAGGACCTCTGGAATGCCCAAGCAAGCGGCACGCTCAAGGATGTTAGTGTCTCCATCAAGGACAACATATGCACGTCTTCATTACGAACAACGTGTTCCTCAGCCATGTTGTCTGGTTAGTTTGCTACTTCGTCAGAGTAAACTCAGTTCAGTTATGACTAAACTGTGCAGAATACACCTCTCCTTTTGACGCGACTGCTGTAAAGCACCTGCGTGATGCTGGCGCACGTATCGTTGGAAAGGCTAATTGCGACCAGTTCGGCATGGGGTAAGCATGCTCTACATGTTCAACTCCTGGACGCTAGCGAACGTCTGTCCTTCGGACCAGATCCCTCAATATAAACTCCATCCACGGTCCAGTCATAAATCCCCATCAAGCCCCTGACGCACGGGACGTCCCCTGGCAGGGGCGCGAGCGCAGGTCCGCGGGTGGTAGCTCGGGAGGAAGCGCAGCAAGCGTAGCCGCAGGACTTTGTGACGCGTAAGCAACGCATAGTAATAGTGAGACGAATCCACTTCTGACTATGTTTAGCTCCCTGGGCACAGACACGGGTGGATCAGTGAGGCTTCCCGCGTCGTATTGTGGTGTGGCCGGCTTGAAGCCGTCCTACGGCTTGATCAGCAGGTCTGCGTTCGTGCTTCTCCCGCTTGTATGACGTTTTCACGTACTGTAGATGGGGAGTCATCTCGTATGCGGACAGCCTTGACTGTGTCGGTGTACTTGGCAAGTCGGTCGATATCGTCCGGAAAGTCTTTGGTGCGCGCTGCTGTGTCAGTTCCATCACGCGCTCACCTTAATATCCAGACGTCGTATCTGTGCACGATGTACGAGATCCAACTGCTGCTTCTCCTGAATTACGGGAAGAAGCACGTTCCGCTGTGGAAGGGTATTTTCCCGCCCTTTCTAGACAACCTACCACTCTTGAGGGCTTGCGAATAGGCATACCTCAGGCATGTTAGATTTCCCAGCGTCGTCTAATACACCCATCACTGATTCTTCGGCAGGAATACTTCCCGCTGGAACTGGACCGCAGTATTATAAACTCCCTACGCGGCGTCATCAAGGGCCTCAAATCTATGGGCGCCTCCATCGTTCCCGTCTCGCTCCCTGCAACACAATACGCTCTGAGTGCGTACTATGTCATCGCTAGCGCAGAAGCCTCCAGTAACCTGGCACGCTTTGATGGTATTCGATATGGTACTTATACCTACGTCCTTGGTTTCTTTCCAACCAGCGGCTAAAACTTGATGCCAACGATAACAGGACTTCGCGTACCTCCACCTGGCACTGTCCCTGTAAAGCCGAGCGAGGTCTATGCTTTTTCGCGTTCCAAAGGTTTTGGGAAGGAGGTCCAGAAACGGATTTTGCTTGGCACGTATGCGTTGACTGCTGAGTGAGTACCCATAGTTTGCTCTCCTTTTATGCTTTTGTCCTGAAAGAACAAAAATGCACGCAGTGCCTTTGACAACTACTTTCTGCAAGCCCAGCGCGTGCGCGCGCACATCAAGAGAGATTTTAACAACGTCTTTCGTTTTCCCTCTCTCCATACCCAAGCACCACGACCACGACCACCCGTGAACGACGACGGCATCGACGTCCTCCTGCACCCCTCTTCCATCCGCACAGCGCCACCCCTGCCCCCTTCAAACGCTAAACGCGCCTCCGTCAAGGACACCACCACCCCGCACACCGACGACCCCCCAGCATCAACAATAGACGAATACCTCCAAGACATCATGACAGTCCCAGCCTCGCTCGCTGGCTTACCCGCTTTAAGCGTTCCTATGGGCTTGGCGGGCGAGGGCGACCGTGGGGACGGTTGGCCTGTGGGTGTGAGTGTGGTGGGACAGTGGGGGTGTGATGAACTTGTGATGTGTGTCGGGAGGATGATTGAGGAAGTGCGGGGGAGGAGGGGTTAGGTGGCGCAAGTGGGGCCTTTTGTGTCTTTGGGGCCGGGTAGTGATAGGCATTGGTTAGGTATTCTGCTTCTTGATCGCACTCTGTGAGAACGCATAGACGAGATTTGGAGATTCCGGTAGTATGAAAATAAAAGAGATCGGGTGGTAGATACTACGGTGTTTACTTGTATCACGGATGAGGGGGTACAACGACAACCAACAAACGATGGCCTCACTACAGACGCATCATCACCCACAACAACAAACGCGCCTTTTACATCTTTGTTGATTATTTAATAAGCCATTAAAATCCTCGACTCTCGGAAAGAATCTCAAATCTTGAAAGATACTTGCACACGCACACGCACACGACCGACACGACACGACACGACACGACACGACACGACACGCAAAGGCTCAGAAAACCGCCGCGGCCACTTTGCCCCATATCGTCGTGGGTGGTATTTCTGGTCCTTCGGTTTCTTCGACAGTAGGGATGCCCTGGACAGGGTGAAAGAGGGTTCGTTGGTGAGTGAGTGATGCCGTGGTGGGAACATGACACGTACGGTCACGAAATCCATCTCCTCCGGTTTCCATACTTTAGTCCGTTTCGTGATCTTCCAGAAGGCGTAGAGGCCGAAGAAGA